TTTTGTTTACATTTGCAATGCTTGCAACGTCTTTTCGGCCAGAGGTCTCGTCGTTGGCCAGACTGGTTTTTCTCTTTTTTTATTGGCCAAAAAAGGAAGTTGCTCGTAAAGTGGCGAAAGCCGCCAACTGACTGACCCAACAACAAAGTGTGTGCAAAGTATAAAATGCAAGCAGAAAAATCGTTAAATAAAATAATAAAAGCGCTTTCTTTCCGCTGCGTTTCATCTTCGATTCGTATATTTTCCTTATTTTCCATATTTTCTTCTATTTATTTTTTTAGGGATTTCGATGTGTTTCACTGATTTGTTTGTTTTTCATTTTTCTCTTTATTTTTTGTTTTGTGGCACAGCAAAAAAAATATATAATGGTCGAAATATTTACCACCGCACTCACTCACTTGGAAAAAAAAAACTCGAAACACTCAGCAGGAGATTCAGCGTTTTTTGGCTTCGGTATTGTTACTGTTCTGGACTGCCCACGCTGGACGTATCTGTGGACTTCGGATTCGGGTTCGGAATTAAGTCGGTATCACTTTGTCTCACTATAGTTGTCAGTTAGTAATTAGCATTAGCCGCGCTGGCTGACCGTTCACGACGACGCTCCGCGAGCGACTGACCAGCGGATGCCAGCGGATGCGGATCCAAGGCGCCCTCCAACCAACCGACCTCATCGAACCTGCGCCGGCCGTCGAGCCATCGAACATGTTGCGTTGCACCCGTGTCTTCAAAGCACAGGGGCGCCGCTTTCTAAGGGGGTGGCCCTTTAAGATGATTTAGTTTTAATTTCCCTAATTACCCATACACTTCTTTTTTGTCAGGTAAAAAAACTCAGTAAATAAACGAGAAATGACTAAGTGTGTTTCTTTAAAAACAATATACAAGGCCGATTTTTTATACTATATTCATATAAATTGCAAAGCTTTAGGAGCCGTATGATTTAGTCGTCTGATCCAGCCCGTCCCAACTTATATACTACCTGCAACAGCAAAAATACTTTTGTCAATGTTTTATCAAGATATCTTTAAAACTTAAAAATATACAGTGCTCAAGATCGAAGTAGCACTGTCGAAAATGTAAAGAGCTCCAGTATTCCATTAGCTCAGTTTAAAGATAAGATAAGATAAATGAGGAAGGCATTTTAAACAATGTTCTTTATTTTGTTTTAAGTTGCTTTCAAATATTAAGCAAAATAGACATTTAAATACATATAATTATTTCGAATTTAAATATAAGCCTAGCCTAAAGTTCTTTATTTTAGATTTTTTAAAGTTGTTTTGCTTTTTATCTGATAGGTTTTAGAATTCGAATTAAATTTTAAGCCATTTCTGAAGAACTTGGTTTCATTTTTATTTTATCTTAATACAATTTCAAGGTGTTAATGAATTTAACAAAAATATTAGCTATAAATATATTTACCTAGCAATAATAATGCATTTAAAATGAAGCCTTTGTTTAAGCACTATTGCCGTCTTGATTTTCTAAGCTTGGTGTTTTTGTTTAAAGGTTTTTTTTAACTTGATTAAAATTGATTGATCTAATATTACAGAATAATACAAAATTTCGTATTTATTCTCTTTTAAACCTTCTACGCCTTTGAGAAAACTTGATTCCAGTGGCACATTCGAACGAGTTCGACACGTGCAACATGTTGCATGTTGTGTTTTCATTCGGCGGCAATTGTTGCTGCCACAGTGCGTTGGTGGTGTGGTGGTTGGTGGTTCTAATTGACAGTTTGCCAGAACAACTTGTTGAGTTTATTGTTGTCTTAATGGGGTGCTTATCTGCCTCAGTGTAGTGTGCCCCACGATCTCGCGGATTATTGGAGGACAATTCCCCCCCTCCCCCCGGCTGCCCGGGCAAATTGACGATTTGAATATTTACATAAACGATTCTGATTACAATTGAATTTATTATTTAGAGCAGCTACTTAAGCCGCACACATGTGCATAGGTACGCACACATATACATATACATTTCTCGGCTCTCGCTCGACAAATGATATCTTTTCAGGGGGGCCCATCCAATGTTTATTTTTTTTTGTTCTTTCTGGAGGCGAAATCTGCGGCACGTCGAGAATATGGAGTAAACAATTGCCAGCCGCCGCTTGCCACCTGCAACATGTTCGACGGCGAACGCGGTTCGAGTTGCGTCTGCAGGTTGCATGTTTCAAGGTTCTGCAACAGGTGGATCCCAAAAAAAAAATTCCAAATCTTATAAGAACCTTATGTAAATAATGCAGATACAGCTAAAAACACAAACAAAGTAGTCGGTTTTATGTAATTAGGGGTTAATTTAACTACAATAAAAGCGTGGCGCTAATCTTTTATTTTAAATAAATAAAAAATTTACATATCATTTAACTGTAAACCGTGTTTTAACTGCTTAATATACTTTAAGCAAATTTAAAAGTATTATTAAACTACAATGGAAGAGTCATGGTCAATAAATTTTTGTAACCCTTGGACAATTTGCATGTTTCTTAAGAAAATAGGATTTTAAAAAAGAATTGTTAAATTCTTTGAAAAGTTTGCATTACAAAATTACCTTTTAGTTATCCAGTGTGGGCTATAAATTTTGTACTGTGTTTTTATGATACGAATCGTTTAATGGATTAAATTTGTTTAAAATACCATTTTGAAATCTTAAGCAGACCTCCAATGTTTATTAGTTATTTTAACAACAAATTGAATTTTAATAGAAAAATTATAATAAAAAAATTATATATAAATAAAAAATTATATATAAAAATAAATTTAAATTACTTGATTTAAACTTTTTTTTTTTTAATCAAAGTCATGGTATCGCCTTATTCAATTTAAACGAAATCTACATCTACTTTTCTTCTATTAATTCAATTTAATTTACCCTAACGAAAGCGTAGTTTATTGAGGAATTTGTATACACCTTTGGAGTGTATCTTAACTATTAACTGTGGACCCCTTTTTTCCGCCTCACTCCTCGGAAAATCGCTGTAATTGCCGTAAATGAACAGCTGTTTCGGCTCCTAAAAAACTTTTCCCTGCCTTCTGGGATTCCGCATTCTTGGAAGGGGAATCGTTCAAACAATTTGAGGCTTTCGCTTTCAGCTGAGTGAAAAGCTGTTTCGCCTATCAGGTGGCCAAAGTCGCAAGATATATACCATATACCGGAGAAATGCATTTGCAGGCAGGCCAGATCACTTTCAGTTCAGCGACATTACTGAACGTTACGGATTATAAAGAAACTTTGTTATCGCAGTGTCTAAATGGGTAAAAAAAAAGTAGAGTTCCTTCCAAATATACCCATTTGCACACTGCTAAAAAAAAGGTAGTAAGTCCAAGTATTTTGTACTCAATTTATTATCATCCATTACCGCAATTTTAGTTATTTTATACATGAAAATATTAAATATTTCATATGTGTTGTATTTGACTATTGTTGGAATAAATTTTAAAATCTAAAAATTTTATTTTAATTTTAACCACATTTAAACAAATCAAATATGAACTATTATATCTTATATTTTGCACATTAATTTAAATATTTTAATATTAAATCATGGAATTTAATATGATTTGTATATAATATTATGATTTAATTTTTATTTAATAACATTTTGAATTCAATAGCTAGATATTTATTTTAACTATTACATTTTTTTAACAATGCATTCCCATTCCCAAAATAAAAACATTTTCATTAAGATGTTCCGCAGTGAAAGGGGATAGACCAGCGAAAACAATTGGCAAATCGGAAAAGCAAAACAACTTTTCATGCATAGCCCAAGGCGTGCATTTTTTTCAATATTTATTAAGCCAGAGATTCTCGCGCGTTTTGAGACCAGGGTCAGCGACGAAAGCGTGACCCGCCCGAAAATAATCAAATTAAATGTATTAACCATCCAAAGTTGAACCAGCCGTTAAGCATGTTCTTGAGTGGCGGCGCGCCAAGGTTGGGCACTTGATCGCAATTTAGCTCGTTTTGTCAGCTTATTAAGTGACTGAAACTTTTACGGCTTACACAAATTAAATAAGCAATTAACAAAGATTTTGTTCAATAGAAGTTGTTGGTTGAGAATTTCACAAAATACAATCATAAATCAATAATATTTAAATTTAATATTTCAATGAATAAAATCATAAATTTATTTAGCTAAAACAGCAATAAATTCTTCACAACCAAATTAAAAAAGTTCGTTTTAAAGTTCTTTGTTGATAATTACTATATGCCAAATAGTAAGTATTTAATACATAATTTTAAAAAAATAAAATGTAAATAATATTTAAAAAAAGACCAAAATCATAAATTTGTGTACATGTACATGAACATGTACATGTGTAACAATAAATTCTTCACTAAATGTTTTTAGAAAAAATTAATGAGAGTACATTTTAAACAAGTCATTAAGTTATATAAAAGACCTTTTTTTATTCTACTACACAAATAGTCACTCAACTTACACATTTTTTTCCCGTTTAATACGATATTTTGGGTTTATCGTGTAAATCATCATGTAGTTCATTCCCAAATCGGGTTTTACTACCATATTGTTCCGGAAATGTAATGCGGTCCAACGGATATGATATAATGTCAATTATTGGGAGGGGCTATGTGCATGTTAATAATTGGAAAACTGACAATTACACGACACATTTAGGCTGAACGGATTACCGATTTTTTGAAAAATTAATTTTATACGTTACCAAGGGAATTACAGCGTATAACTAGTTTATTTTTTAAAAAGGCGTTTATATATTTAAAATAGAAACTTAAAATGCCTTTAAGCTTTTCCCCAAAGCTTTGTTTTAAGCCATATATGGTGGAAAACCATATATTTGATACTTTTCCATTATTTAATGTTAACATTTTTAAGCTTTAAGCTTTGCAGAGAGCTTTGCAGAAAGTGTATAACTGTAACTTTGGTTAACTGCCATTTAAAGCTCTCAGTTTTCCTTGAACAGTTATGTTAACGTCATGTTAACCCATTTTGAACTTTTCATAAAATGTTACACCAATGTTAATTTAAGGAAATCGTTTTCTTTATTTAATCTTTGTATTTCTTAAGTCTACTGCATGTAATCGTTTTAATTATTAATTTTATCAATGTTGTGGATTTTGTTCTGCATTTTCCTCCGTTTTTGGATTCTCACTTTTCTTTATTTGTTTGCTTTAGTTTAGTAATAATATTCATTATAAGTTACGAGTATTCTCAAACACAATAGAGACAGAGACAGAGCGACACACACGTTTTTTGTATTAATTTATATTATTATTGCTAAGACAAAAAATAAGTAACGGTCTATCAATGAATATTAACAAAAAAATGTATGAAAAGTGCCAGTTCGGACCATTTTTTATATAGGCTTTTGTGACTTTTTAATTTTTGTTCTTTTATTTTTTAAAAGATTTGAGGGTTGTATAATTTGAATATTCATGGTGGAGTATTAATTTGGCGGATACAATAGATTTACAAATGGGCTTAATGAGAAACTAGAAAACTATCCAGTAAAGGTGTACATCAAACATTTTTCTGGATTTTAAAATATGGCCACACAACTTCCGATTTTTGGCAAACATAATGGCGAAATACAAAGTACGTCTATTTTTTTATTATTCTTAGCTTCACCTACAAATTATATGTATAGAATATAATCTGCAATATATAGGTATATCTGTATATATTTTCTTTAAGTATATTTATTATTTAAAACTCTTTGTAACATTTAATAAAGTTAAACATTGATTGCTCTTGCGTTGTGACAATAAGTTACTATATAATCATATAATCAATCTGTCAGTATGTATACATATAGTTCATTTCTATAAATATATCTTTTGCGTCCTTTGTATCTCATAATCATTCTGCCAGCCTTGGGTTTCTTTGTCCCCTCGTCTCTTTGTTGATTATCCTTGACTATGTTTAATAATAAAAAAATTCTCTAGCTTTTCTGTTTTACATACGTCTCTCCTTTTATAAGTTTTTCTTCGTCGTCCAGCGACATTTTCTTAGGTGAAAATAGAGGCAAGGGATTTTGCCTTTTTGGGAGTTCTTTAGTTTCCCCCCTCCCCCCCTTTTTTTCCATTTAATGTTGGGCATTTTCCTTCATTTTTCCGGAGTGCTAAGAAGGCGCAAACTCGTTTTCCGTTTTCGAATGGAGGAACACGAAGAGTAAATTAAATATTCGAGTATTTTGTTATGTACATTCTAAATGTAATTATGACGAGGCTGTACCCTATGTTTATGTGTATATACTCTATAAGCAATAACAACATCGAGACCTATATAAAAAGAAAACTGCTGCGACTCGAGAGCCTGCTGATCTCTTCAATTTGAATTTCCATTTTCAGTTGCGGTAACTTTAATTAAGCTAGGCAATGGTCTAATATTTAAGAGGGGTGGCAAACGAATTAATATAAATTTAAAATTGCGACAATAAAATTTACTCTTTTTCCTTATAGATAAATATATATATTTGTTAAATGTACTGAAAAAAAAAAATAGTAAAAAATACCGGACTATTGAATTCAACATTTAGCACTCAATTTTTAAATTAATTGACATGATTTACTATTAAAATATTTTTGTGAATGTGGAACATTTAGATTTAAAGTAGTTCTTATTTGTTTTTAATGCATTTCAATTAATTAAATAAAACATTTTTAAACATATTATAAAACAATTTCAAATATTCTGAGGGAAATAAATTTAAGGCGTAGCTAAGTAATACATTTGTAACATCTTTACAAATAAAATATAAAGAAAGTGAGATCAGTGTCGGGAAAAAATATTTAATTTATTCTAAAAACTTGTCTTGTTCTTGGACACCTCTTCGTTTGATTTTAATGAATTGCCTTTTGTCACCCCACAACACCGAAATAAAATCAAAGAAATCTCCAAACTCTCACAATTTCTCGCTGGGGTTTTAGATTTGTTATTTTTTTTGGGGATGGCTACTCGAACTAAAGGCTGGCTGACCTGCTGGGCTGGGCAAATCAGCAGCAAGCCCAGTTCAAAAATAGTTTTAGATTGATTTTCAATTCGATTTATTGCTGGTTTTGCGATTAAACCTTTTTCTCTTAGCCTAAGGTTTTATATTAATTTTGTATATTCCATTTTAAAGTTTAATGTTGGGTTTTTTTCCTCTTTTGTTTTTAAGGTACATGGTACATTTGACAACTCTCTTGAATTTCGATTGCATTTGTTGATTGAATCAATCGGGAATAAATGGCATAACTGACGAATGGAAAAACAAGCTAGATCAAAAAGCACCTGAGGATATCCACTTCTAATTGAGTTGGATTCTGCTCTATAGATATAAAGTCTGTGGGATTGTATCTTAGTATCTTCATTGGTGGTTTCATCTTTTTCCATGCGGTGGTTCACGAGTCTACACAACATCCAAACAATGAGGAGCAACTAGGTCCTAAGTAAATAGTTATTTTTTATTCCGTTTTTTTTTTGTTTTTTTTTGCTTCGTTTCGCTAGTAAATCTAATTTATCAATTCCTGAATATACAATATATAGATTAAATTTCATGTGTCATTACAGTTTGATTACATAGAGTTGTATATTATATTTAAACCGGATGCTGATGGAACCTGTTGAGAGAAGAGAATGTATATGTGATTTATTTTATATTTCTTATAGAAAAACTTAAGTTTTGGTTAAAGTGGTCACTTTTGTTGCTTTATAGAATTTTTTAAAATAAGATTTGCTTTTTAAAAGAGATTGAATGCAAAATGGCTTTAAAATGATTTGAACATGCGTTTTTTAAAATGCTACACTGATATAAAAATTGAATAGTAAAATAAATACCTTACTTTACTAAAATAAATACCTTACTTTTAAAATTTAATTAACAATATTAAAATTAATTATAAATCATAACATTAAATATTTTATTGAAGGTGGAAAATAATAGGTTTAAAATAGTTCCTATTTTATTTAAATTAACCTTAAAAAAAAATCATATGAAATTTTAAAAAATTGTTACATTTTTACAATCTGAATTAACTATGTGCGGCGAGCACATGATGAAAATCAAAGCGAAAAAAATTTAAAATTGAGAACAAAACATATGTATTTACTCCTATTATTGTCAGTGGACTTTAATTGTTTTCTAGACTTTAATAAAATAGAATCTTTTTGTGTTGTGTCTTTTAAGTCTGTTTTTTGAAGTAGAGTTAATAGGAAATGGCTTTGAAATTAATTTTTAACGCTTTTTTAAAAGCTACTAATCAAAACCATAAATTGTAGAATCAAAAATCTGGATAGCAACTTTCCGGCAGCTATTAATCGTTTATAATTTCCGGCCATCTGTTCAGAAACTGTGCACTCTGAACCAAAGGACATTTGCTGATTTCAGGCCATTAATTCTGCCCAACACGATTATGGTGCTCAAGCGGGAGGACAAACTAAATGTTTGCCCACATTTTGCCAACCAAACGGCCAACGGCAGTCAGCCAAATGCTGTTCAACGCTGGCAAATGCAAAAGCAATTGCATTTAGATTTTCTATAATTAGTTTGTGGAATGGAATGCAAACTAACACGCGTTTCAATTAAGAAATGACACCCCACCGCCCCCTTAAATTAGCTATTATAGGGGGCGTGGCATTGGGCGTTGGTCCAGCGGACAAGTCATTAAAAACACGACCCATTTATCCATTTCTCCTTGATCATGGCATTGGCATTGTCATTGATGCAGCTGTTGCTGCAGAATATTACTCACACGCCATGTTGGCCGCGTTGGAGTCAGGGCTGCCACGTCCTTGGCCCCCATTTCCACATACCACCCACTATCCACCACCCACTTTGCAATGTCCTTGGGCCAAAGCTGCATTTCATTATGTGTGTTTTTATGTGTAATGTGTATAGCTAGCCGGATTATTAAAAATGCACACAGCCCATTGACAAATGCTAAAAATAAAATGCGAAATGTGCCACAAAAAAAACCAAGCCAGAACTTGGATTTCATGTTAACACCTCTGCACCTGCAATTAAATTCAAATAATTTGCGGCGAAAGTATCTTTAAATTATGAAATAAATATGACAGAAATTGTGGTAAGCTATTGAAATGTATTTCTTAAGCCCTTTTAATTTTTGTTTGGTGTTTTTATTAGATGGGTACTTTCAATTTAAAAATAAATACTTCCTTTTTGCATGTCTTAAAAAAAGTTTTAAAAGAAACTTTAAATTAAAAACGAAGTCATAATAATCAATATAATACCGAACGTTTCTTTCGACAACAAATGCTTTAGATATATTGGTTAAATGAATAAGCAGTATTTATATTTGTTGACTATCAGTTAAAAAAATAATAAATGTAAGTCGACATGACAAAAAACTAGCTTATATATTATTGTTGATTTAAAACTATAAATAGTTTATAAATTAAAATGCAATAAAAATATAACCATAAACAAAATACAACTTTATAGTAAAACCAAATAACTAATACAATCAAAATGTAATTAATTTTTTGTTTCGAAAAAATTTTTGTTCATCTGCACTTTGTATTGGAATAAAATATAATTTTTTATATCTGACTTTTTTTTTTTAATTTAAAAATTAACCAAATAATTTTTTTTCAATATTTCAATACTTGAATATTGTACTTATGATAAATGTGGATTTCTGTTAAAAAATATAAAATAATCTTCAAAACTAGTTTTGATTGCTACTTCCATAAGCTAAAGAAATACTATTTGCATGACCGCAGCTGTATATATTTTTGTATACAAAAAATCAGAAATACAACTTACTGTGGTTAATTGTTCCTTGTTTTTTTTTCGATCATCTAAGAAATGGAAATGCCATTATTTCGTGGAAGTGGTTTCGAGTTTCGAGTGTTGCGCGCTATCTTTGCTTTCCTTTGTCATTCTTCTTTAACACTCCAATTAAATATTATTTGCAATTATCCTTGCAAAAAAAGGGGTGGCAATTGTTAAGTCGCAAGTGTGGGGGTAGGAGTGAGGGGAGCGTTTGGGGACTGGCGACATTGGTGGGCGTGGCACGTGGCACAGGTGTTAACCGAAATTGCTGGCAATCAAAAATGGTCGCGATGCGTTTTTCACTGTTTTCTTTTCATTTCGTTTTATTTTGTTTTCTCTTGCCTTCTTTTCTTCTTTCATTTTTATATTTTTTTTTCTCCCATTTCTTTTTATCTTGAGCTGCAGTTTTTCATTTTTTTCGAAGTTTTATCATTTTTGTTTGCTATTTTCTTTTCAGTTTTCCCGCTCTGCCATTTTTCGTATGATTTTTTTCGTGCGGGTTTGCGGCTTGTTTGTTTGTTTGCTTTATGCGGCAGCCGCGAAAAGCAATTTCCCAGCGCGAAATCGGGATTGGGGTGGGTGGGTGGTTGGTATGTTTGGTGGGGAAGTTGTGTCGAGGAAAACAGGAATTGTTGTTAATAAGGTCCAGTTGCAGTTCGTGTGGCGGTGTTTGTATAGTGACCACCCACCCCCCCTCCTTTTGCCAATCCACCCAACCATCCATCCATCCATCCAACTAGATGTCCTGCGTGTCCTTTGGCCAACCGCTTATGTCTGCACGGGCACATTGCTGTCGGCCTCCTGGAGAACGGGCGCTGTCCAAACGCCGCTGCCGCTGCGCGTCTTCCGCTGCTGCACGATCCCGTCCATGATGTCCAGCTGCAAGTTGTGCACGCTGCCGCGATGGTCGGTCAGCGGCGGTCCGGCGATCACGCTGCCCCGGCGACTGCCACCACTGCAAGAAATGCAGGGTATTAAAATTCACATTAAATTGATTTTTTTTTAATATTCAAAAACCAGCAAAATAAACAATTAAATTATGAAAAGACATTTTATGCATATGTGATGAAAAGTAAGTACACAATTTAACAATTTTTATTCCACTGCAAGAAATGCGGGGATTGAAATTCACATTAAATTGATTTTTTTTTTAAATACAATAAAACTATTATACCACATAGATATACCATTAAAACAGGTTGAACAAATATGAAAAGACATCTTATAAAAATGTGATGCAGATATTAATAACTGTGAATAACTTTTTTTTTTAAATTAATGCTTTATTATTTTTCACTGTGATATCTTGTTTTGCACTTTATTGTAGGCCATTTTTTATTTATCCTTTTTTTGGGTGCCTAGACAAGGACAATTTGACATTTAAGCTGGGGCCGCTTCAATTTTTACTTTACTGCCCACATCCACATACATGTGCACCCATAGTAAGTGGTTGATGGGTCTGCGGTTATCACTTTAGCATAAATTATACGGCCCGTTGGCCCGTTTAATGTTCGGTGGGCTGCCATTTAGATGGCCACCACGGATACACAGAACTTGGACAAAGTCAGGTTGTACGATAAATGTGGTTACAATGTCACTAGCTTTTCGGCAGGAAAGTCGAGCCAAAAATGCTCTAAGTCACTAAAACGAAAACCAGACTAATAAGATAATGAAGTATAACTAACAAATATCTAACTGTTGAATTCTTAATTGTATACTTAATATTCAAAATTTGTTAATATTTTTTTTAAGTGCATTTTATTTAAGCTAAATATGATTTACATTTTTGTTAAATTTTAGGATTTTAATAAATATTTGTACTCTTATTTATTATTCATATTTAAAATAACTAAAAACCGCAATGGGTGAAAATCAAAGCGAAAAATATTTAAATTGTTCCACTTAAAATCTTTTTAAAACTTATTTTATGATATCTTTTGAGCAACAGAATAACGTTAAACAAAAATTATCAAAATAGTTTTAATTAATTTTAAAGTGGTATTTATTTATTTTCTTTAACTTTATAAATATCAATAATCTCCAAAGAAAATTAAAGTTTTGGCTTCACTTTTCTAAAAATTTGTTAATTCCTTTTTTCAGTTATTTTGCGATTAGAAAGTAATTCCTACCATAAATAGCTGGCACATAAAATCGTCATTCAATGAGGCCCCAAAAAAATATGCTCCTAACTATTCTTAATCCCCAAAATTTTATTGCATCTTCGCATTGATTGCCGGACTCGTTATTTGGCCTCATCATAAGGCAATGACCGGGCGCAGTTTATGACAATCTCATTATGCCCCCGGCAGTTCCCTCCCCGAAATCTGCTGTTCCATCGCCTGGCCACGCCTACTTCCGACTCCGCCCTCGCCTCCATACCCAGTCGTTTATCAAAATGTTGCTGTCACAGCACAAAAGCTTGAAAACACCCGACGGCCAAATTCAATTAGGCCCGGTACATAGAGTTTGCAGATGGGTAAAGGGCAAGAGAACTCCAAATAGAGGGCTAGTTGCACAGAAAGAAATATCGTGCATAAAAAATGAAATCATAATTTTTTGCAGAAATTTGACAATCTAACTGTGAATGCCATTCGATTGGAAATATTATTACGAATTCAACGGTGTATGGCATTCCAACATTTGACTATTATTTCCCAGAGTTTTGACCCAAAAATAATTAATTTTTAATTTTTGAAATAACTGCAAGGGTATATGAACTTCGGCTTGCCGAAGTTTACTTCCTTTCTTGTTTTAATTTAAAACTATGTTTTTCCATACTTAAAAATAAAAATTATTGTGTATCACACTTTGATTTAAACACAACACTTCTCGGGGCTAAATCAGTACCGAAAATACTTAATTCAAAGTAAAAATGTTTGGATTTACCATGATTTTTCTCTGGGTGTACTTATCTAATTGCGAAAATTTTAAATAGTTTGAAATTCATTTAATTAAAGTTTAGTTTCTATGACAATTTTTTGTTGGCTGTGTAAGGCTGCGGTTGAACCGCTTCACTTCCGCCGGCTAATGGCAAATGGCTAATGGCAAATGGCTAATTGCTACTGGCTAAGTTTGGTTTTTTTTTGCGTACCTGAAGGACACGCCGGAAATGGACTCGCGGCGATTGCGTCCGAATAGCGTTGGCGGCACCGCCGAAATGGTGACCACCGAGTGGCGCCGTCCGCCGGCCGAGGGATTGGCCTTCTGAGAGAGGGTGGCCAGGAACTCGACCTCCTTGGGACTGAGCCCGCCGGTCTCGCCGCCCACCTCCGACAGGCGGCGCACCTGGCTGGCGGTGATGCCCTCGGTGATTTGGAGCGAGGGCAGCGAGTGCTTGCGCCGCTGCTGCATGTCGGGAAAGGGGCAGAGCAGGTACGGGTTCACCGGCGAGTCCGGCTCCGAGTCGTCGCTGTTCGAGCGCCGAGTGCCACCCGCGTTCGGGTCACAGCCACCGGCCGCCCCCTCAAGGTCGTCGCCATCCTCGGCGGTGTGCGACTCCTCCACCACAATAAGCGGCTCCTGGGTGCTCAGATTGAAGACCGGCGTGAACGAGGAGCGACGCATTCTGACTGACCAGCTATTTCTGCAAAAAACAACAAAATATTGGTTTACTGTAGCGTATTGCACTCTTTCAAGGAAACACATGTGACAATGTCAATATTTTAAAGGATAAATATGTGACAATGTGTTCAATGGTCACTAGGGTGTTAAGGTTGAGCACTCAATACTTTAGATTATCTGAGATTTGCAACATATACAGGTTATTTTAGAAAGACATATAAAAAACACATATCCTTTCTTTTAAATCAAATCAACACTTCGAGAGCTTGCTCATTTGTTTTATTTAATTTATGAATTATAAAAAAAAAACATTTATCATTTGCCTAATATTAAAAAATGGTGAAATCACATCAGAAACCTGCTGAACTTACTCATTTAAATATTTAATATATTTTATTTAATAATTTTATTCAAAACTTTATTAGTTTGAGTGCCGCTAAAGATCGTAGAAGTGCTGTTGACATTTTGCGGTCACTGTGCGCGGGCGGCAGCTTTGCAGCAATCAAATTCGGTTAGCAAAAATTGAAATCAACTGCGAAAGTTAGCCGCAGCTGAGCTTGATTTTTGCGGTTACCAACTTTTTGTTTACTTTGATTGTGGGATTGTCCAATGGAGGCGTTGTAAAAATTCGATGGCAAATATGCAAAAGCCATAAAGACGAAACAAAAATAATGAAAACATTGAAAGTGTCATCAGATAAACACTGAATCAATTTGTCGCTCCATAAAGCTCAAATGGATTATGACTAAATTGAAGTTATTAGTTGTGATATGAGGCTGCATATGTAACCTAAAATAATATAAGAAATTTAGAAGTAAAAATAAATATCTGACTTTTTAATTCAAAATTGTATGCATAATGCTTACAAAACATTTTAAAAAAATATTAAATACAATTCAAATTAAATTGCATGATGATAAAATTATTTTAAAAAAAATTAGATTTAAAAAAGTTGTTTTTATATATAAATATATTTTATTTAATTTATATATGGTTGAAATTTAAATTAAATTTTCAGATATTAAAATCAATTCCAAATGTAGTCGAAAAATTTTAATATTTTCATATTTAAAATAACTACAATGGATGAAAATCAAACCGAAACATATTTAAATTGAGCACAAAACAATGAGAATTACTACGTTTTTTTTTCCAGTGATAATGATAAGAGGGAAATAATTTGTTTTGAATAAAATCTCTTTCGTTGTATTCGTTTTTAATACAATTTATACGACAGTTTACAATCTTTTACTACACGAGAAAATTGTTTAAATAATTACTATTGCATTATGGCAATTGTGGAAAATTGTTAACACTGATTTGAAAGTTAAGAGCTAAACTGAAAATGTGCATATAAATGGATAGCCAATTTGAGCACATTTAGAGCGGGTTAAAATCAACAGTAAGAATGCTGCCCACAATTATACTCCTGCTGACTAGTTGTTTGGCATTTGGAGCACTCATTCCCAGTCAAGTGAGCATTTGGATTAGTTTTTGTTAAATATATATAGTTATACCCTGGCAGAAGGTCCGTTTGTGCTTTTGTCCGCTTTCTATCAGTTTTAAATCTATCTGCATGAAATTTTCCTTAAAGTTGTCTTCCTATATACGAACAATCGGGAAAAAATTATAATAATTGTAACTTTGCTCTTTTGTTTTGTTAGTTCTTCGAGATATAGTAATGGTTTTGGTATCTCAGAATTACTTTTTAAATTTGATTAAAATGGGAACAATCGGAATGTTAAAATAAAGAAATTAAAAAAATAGATCTACGCTTTCAATTTTATTAAAATCAGATTACGATATCATATAACTTAAGAACCAAATTTAAGCTAGATATGTTTTCTTAGACAAATACGCTTATAAATCGAAATTTAACTACTTTAAGGAACATTTAATTTATGTAATAGCTTTCTTGCTTAATATATATTTTTATTTGTTAAAATTGAAAACAGAAAACCTGGACATATGTGCCACGATCGATTCAAATGACGACCAGCAATGAGTCGCTGGCCGGTGGCGATTGTCGACTGGAGCGAATAAGTCGCGGGGAGTACGGAATGAGTGGTACCCTGTACTTCAACATCGACGTGCCCAAAGACCTTGAGGCGGAGGTGAACATATATCGCAGCAGCGATGGCGGCGTCACCTACAAACTCGAACCCTATTCCGTGCCGCGCAGGGGTGCCTACGAAAATTTGAACACCTTCTACAAGGACATTGCCATGAAGTCCGCCGCCAGTTGTTCGAATTTTCCACAATTCAAGGACACTCTGGAATTTGTTACCGCACAAAAATTTGCTTACGAAAAGTGCACTATGGACACCTCCGGATTTCCCAACTACCTTTCCGACGGCTACTACAAGGTCGAGATTAAAACATACGGCGTAGTGCAGATTATCTGGGACGTAGTCGTCGAAGTAATGCAAAAAACCTTCTAGAGGGGTTACATATATACATACCATTGGCAGCATAAGTCATCTAATTTATATTCTTAATTTTTTTTTGGGCACAAAATACACTATCACCTTTATGGGTTACAAAAAGTATGCAGTGAAAATTGTAAACCTGTTTTTTGGAATGAAATATAAAGGGAAGAATATATTGTTGCATACTTTTAGACACTTTTATAAGTAACTTGAAAATCCAAGCGAATTCACTGATAGACCTATATTAGAAACACCCATTACAATCTCAATATGAGCAACGTTTTAATCAAATATTAAATCATAAACGTTTTATATACCTAAGAAATATGAATATTATTTTGATTGTGTATTTATTAGCCATCCCTTAAGTTGTTGTTTTCCTTTTCTTACAGTTAATTAACTTAAATTGGGCCTACAATTAATGTACTTAGTTTTAGCCTATACTTTATAAGCACACATAAAATTGGGAAAAAAACAAAGCGATCGTATAAAAGTTTGGTTGGGCTGGGCAGCTCTAATTAAAACCGGCAATTTTGTGGTACATTGCGATACTTATCAGCCCCTTATGGTAATTAAGTGACACTGTATCAGCAAAAAGAAAAAAAATAATGGCTGTATTGTTACCTTGTATTTTTAACTTCAATACAAGACCCAATACATTGTTCACCTTTATTCCCCAGTTTGCGCTTTAATTAGCCTTTGTGCATTATAATTACGTTGCACTAGGGACAAAGCGAATATCCTTGGGGGGCGTGGTCAGGATAAGGGCGGTGGCAAAGGTGGAGGTGGGGGCGTGGCAAATCCCAAGTCCAAAACGAAACGAAACAAATAGAAAAAAAAACTCGACTAAACGAAATGTCTCAATTAATTGAATTGAGTTCAAAAAGTAGGCTGAGAATGGAAAAATCATAAAATGTATAAGTAAAACCCTTTTGTGTGGCTGTGAAAAAAACAAATAAAAACAATACCTTTTCGGCTCCGGGACATTGCGCATACGCCGCTTGGGCCAAAGCCGATGTGAAATGTACCGAAAATGTAAATGAAATTGTTATTAAGCATTAGGCCCATCAGAATCACAAAAAAAAGGAAAAGGAATCCCATTCGTGTGTGGGCAACAAGACGCCGGCTTAATTCGAGGACTCAAGGACCAGAGATTCAGAGATACTTTGACAAGTCGCCAAGTCTAGAAGCTAAAAAATGGCCTGATTCATTGAGATAACAGTTACTCAAAGCTTTGACAATTTATCAAGCCAAATGGTTAAGCAAAACTCATTTTCCCAATTGCGCAGGTGAAATATTAGCAAAGATTAATTTGAATTCAAAACATTTACAAAAATTTAAAGTTATTTTACTTTTTTGTCTCATTTTAAAATTATATATCCGCTTTTTCAATGTAAATATTTATATGTATAAGTAAATCAACAAGGTTTTTAATTTAAATATATATAAATATTTCGACGACTACTCCCAACTGTTTAAGAAAATTTTTAAAATTATATGATAAGCATTTATCGCTACCCAAAAACAAAAAATATTTTTGGTAAACTATATTTTTGTAATATTTTGTATTATTTTTCCTTATTTTCCTTTTTTATGGCACTGAAGCAACGGCAAAAAAACATACTTTAAAAACACAAATATCTAACTTTTTTCTTTAACAATTAACTTGCTTCTATTTTGACCTCAACTGTAGATACTTTTGAGACAGTCTCACATCTCTGTGACTTTGCCTGCTTCACTGGCGCCAAAAATCTGGCAGTTGCCGGAAAAAATAGAAAAACACCCCCTGACTTTGGCCAATGTCAAAAATGCCCATAATGAGCGTCTATAAATAGCATAGTCGCTTGCCATTACGATTTGCAGTGATTTGATTCGAATTCGTAACGAATTCGGGCATAACCTCTGGGGGAATGCCCCCTTATCCCTTCATATATCCTTGGTAAGCAGCACGTAATTAGCAAAAGAGCCAACACGCACACACACACACACACACATACACACGTACGCCTTTAAGCCTGGTAAACAACAAAAGGAATACACACACAAAAAAAAAAGGAAAAAAGGGAAAAGATTGCCTCATTTAAATTTCCCTTTTCGCTTACTCGCGATGAAAATGAAAATTGACAGGCGTCTCTCTCTTTGTCTCTGTCTCTGTCTCTCTACGACTGTCTGGCTCTTTCCAACGCAATATAGCCATCTCTTTCGTGGCAGAGAAACGGATATAGGTTGTTAGGGGTTAAGGCAGCGGCTGCCGAAAAATTCAAATCGCTTTTTGTCCCTGTAGTACTAAGTACTCATCGTGTGAGCTGACAGATAGACCCACAAGGGAAAATTCCGGGGAAAATGCGAGGAGGCAAAGTGCGGGGCACTTTGGGGAAAAGTTCTGCTGATTACAGGAACTACAATGGAACGGAAGGCAAAGCAATCGAGTAGCTCAATTATGATATACTCCCTTTTTCGTCAAATTGATTCCCGGCAACAAGGTCACGATTCGGTTTGTCGGTTATATAGCTATATATACGAGTATATGCCTGTTCAGGAACTTTAATGCGATTGGAAAAGTTAGCGTTTATTACTGCTCTGAAAAATCACT